TAACCAAGGTCTCCACGGTGGTCATGGCAGGGGCGGGTGCTGAGGGCACTGCAGACGGGCAGGAGCTTTTCTTTCCTTTAACACCATTCGCCACTGTTACCCCCCCAGCCATTCCCGCTAACAGGTCATCACTGCTCTTTGTCTAGAAGCAACAGAAAAAGAAAACAAAAGTAAATACTATTTTACAACTAAATGAGTCTTGACTGTTCTGCTGAGTTCAAGTATAACAATATTCCGAGTTCCGAGAATGGCGAGGGTGCTACAACTTTCTGACAGTCAGTCAGCAGCACGCTATGACGTGCTGTAGAAATACATGCTCTTCACAGCTTATAAACAATCTTGTACTGTTTTCAAAATGCCATAAATCAGACACGTAATCAGAGGTTTCACGGAAGCCTGCTGTGTGCCCACACACGCGCCAGTTTGGTGAGGGATGAGGAAAAGCACACACCTAGGACAGGACTACGAACAGGGACCACCGGAGTGACTGACACCAGAGGGGCTATCTCAGGGAAGTCCTATAATGCCACAGGAAGTGCCACCTTGCAGTGTCCAGTGAGGACTATCACTGAAGGTCAGATGATCTTCTTTGCTGTAAAGAGATTCAACAATGCAGCCAGTATAAAGAAGAAATTACTCTGAAATGTATCCTTCCTACCTTAGATCTAATTCTCTTGTAGTCAAAGTCAAGTCAGGATTAGGAGGAGACGTTTTTAAGGCCTAGGTGATATATCAATATGAAATCAGAGACTGTATGGCTACAGTAAGGATTAGTCTACCTAAATGATCATACTACTGAAGAAGAACCATCTTTAACACCCGGTTATGAATATTTCATAAACGTGATTTTAAAGTAGGCCCCCGTCGCAAAGGCACGCGTTGCTCAGACACTGCCTCACAGGCCTGGCGGCGTGCTCCCAGACCAGTTGGATTCCTGCTCCAACCTTACAGCCAAACACGGTGGTATGCAGCGCCAGCCCTGGGCAGCGGTGGGCACTGCTATCCCTGGTAGCTCAGGGAGGCTGAGGTAGGAGGAATGTGAGTTGAAATCGGACCTGGGCAACATAGCAAGATCCTGTCTTTCAAAAATAAATAAATAAATAAATAAACCCAACAACAACAATAACATTAGGTCCAGCCAGGTGACATGGTAGTAAAGGCCGCTGGATCCCGCATGGCCATCCACTCAGTTTGAGTCCCAGACCTGGCAGCTTGAAAAACCCTCCAGGCGTGTGTGTGCGCATGCCCGAAATCTGGAGAGGAGAACGAAGAAGGGATTACAGGGCGGCCATGCCCCATGAGGGTGTTTTTTCACTCTCCCTCTCTCTGTTTCTCTCCAGGGAGTGTACATACCCTACAGCAAGTGAAGAAAATAATTTTAAAAAGCTCTGGGTGTGATGACCCATGCCTGTGGTTCCATCTAAAGGGCTGAGGCAGAAGGATCACCAACAGAGGAATCCTGTCTGAAAATAATGATCTTTAAAATAAACTGGAAATACACACACACGCACACCCCAGCCACGGTGATGTGCACTGGGAGATACTGCTAGTCAACAGGCTGAGGCCACAGGAGAGGTACAAATGCAATTCCCAACCCATCTAAAAAGTTAAAGTGACTAGATCCCACAGAGCTGACTGCAAGGTGTGAGTCCCAGATCCAGCAGTTAAGCACATGCCTAAAACCCCAAAAGGAGGGAGAGATGAAGAAGGGAATATAGTGTGGCCATGCCCCAAAGGAGAGGGAGTTCTCTCTCTCTCTCTCTCTGGTGAGCACACATGCCCTCTAGAAAATTTTTTGTAAAAATAAATGATGAAATTAGAAAACTGACATTTAGCAAAAATTGCAGTAATCATTTTTTCTTTTCTTTTTTTAAATAATTATTTGTTTAATTGTATTTATTCATCCATTTATTTTAATTTGACCAGAGAGAGGCAGAGAAAGAATGAGGGGAAGTGAGAAAGCCAGTCACCAGGTCCAGGACTTGAACGGTGGTCGGCCATGTGGGAGGGTCCAGAGGCTTAACCACTACGCCACCTGCTGGTCCCCAGTAAAGGCAGGAGACCTGAGAGTTTGCAGCCAGCATGTACGACATAATTAGATCCTGTCTGAAAAAACAATTCCTTAATAACTTTTTTAAGGAATTGTTTTATTTCATTTTATTTATTATTATTATTATTATTATTATTATTATTATTTAACTTGACCAGAGAGACAGAGAGAGAGGGAGGGGAAGTGAGAAAGCAAGACGCCAAGTCTGGATTTGAACCACAGTTGGCCATGTGGGAGTCCAGCACCCTCAACCACCACGCCATCTGCTGGCCCCTTGCAGTGATAACTGATTCTGTAAGAACAGTCCAAAAATGCTAGAGTGAAAATTAGTGAGAAAGAAGATATTTACAATGTCCCCAACAATCTCCAACATGATACTTACTAGTTACAAAAGGAGATCTGAAAACCTGACAGTGGAGAACCTAGCGAACCCCACCTTCCCAAAGTAACAAAACACCTCCAGTGAGGAACAGACCCAAGCCCCAGGAAGGCTGCAGTAAGGATGCACTGCTTCTGTGGTATTCCTGCAGAACACAAACTCTAGTCTAACCACAGGAAACGCCGACAAACCAACATTTGGAGGACAGTCTGCCAAGTAATTGGCCTACACTCTAAAAATGGTAAGATCATAAAAGGAAACAGCTGAAAAACTATTTCAAAGTTAAGAATTAAAAAGAACATAATGTGGCCAGCAGGTGGCGTGGTGGTTAAGGCACTGGACTCTTACATGGCCGACTAGAACTCAGGGCCCAGACCCGATGTCTGGAAATTCATGCTGGGTACATGTGTGGCTAAAATTCATACTGGGGTGTGTTCCCAAAATTCGAGAAGGAGATGAGGAAAAAGGACTGCAGGGTGGACAGCCCCCCATGGGGTGATTTCTCCCTTTCCTTTACAAAGTCCCCAACTGCCTCTCTCTCCAGCAAACTCACGTGCCCTATGGCAAAAGCCTTAAAACAGCATACAAAATAAATACATGATCCTGAACCAACAAACACAGATTTTTGCCACTTTGCTGTAATAGACATAGCACATGTCCGGTAAAATTTACTCAAAACCCTTAAAACATACCAAATAAATACATGATCCTGAACCAACAAACACAGATTTTGCCACTTTGCTGTAATAGACATTAGCACATGTCCGGTAAAATTTACTCAAAACCCATGTATTAGACAGCAGCGTCACACTGGGGCTAACACTGTGATTTTATAATTGTGCTGTGCTTAGAGAAATGCAGGTCCTTCTTTTATAGGCTACACACTGAGATATTCAGCAGTAGAGGAGCTCCACACCTACAAGTTACACTCAAATAGTCCCAGGAAAATGCTGTATCCACGTGTACGTGCATGGGTGTACACAGGGAAATGATAAAGCGATTATGAGAAAAGGTTAACTACGGAATCTTGGTAGGGAATACAATGAAATTCCTTGTACCAGTCCATCAACTAGGCTAAAACTACTTCAAAATAAAAGCTTCAAAAAATTAATTCTAGATTGAGGAACCAAATATGAAATGTAAAACAAGAACACTTCTAGAAAAAAAAAGTAAGACCACTTTCCTTTTCCTTTTTTTTTTTTAGGCAGAATCTCACTATCATGATCTTCCCGCGTCCGCCTCCTGAGTGGCTGGGACCACAGGTGCACAAGTCCCCAGATGCCAGGCTTTTTCAGACAGGGTCTAATTATGTCGTACAAGCTGGCTGCAAACTCTCAGGTCTCCTGCCTCGATCTTCCAATGAGCTGGACTACAGGAGTGCACCACAGAGGCCCACTCAACAGTGAGACGACCTGGACCCTTCCCCAACTCCCATCTAGATCTAGCCTCAACCGGTATTTGAGATGAGAGGTGAAGAAATGCAAACCCCATATCCTACTGCATCAGAACATCACGCAGTGACAGACACAGGTGTGGGTGTGCGTACATGGAAAGGTGAGTGTGTGCACATGATGTCTAAATAATCAAAAGCCAAACACTTCATTCATCTCATTAATCATCGATGTTCCATGATAACTGCACGAAAGCAAGCTGTAAGAGGTATCTATGAGGCAGACAAGTACAGCAAAAAAAATAACACTTAAGTTTGCATGGTTTCAAAGCCCTTTCATGTTCTCTATTTTTCTAGTCATTTTCACCATCTTATTCCTTCTTTCTGCTCTTCTTCAGTTTATAGGCAATGCTTTTTTTCTTTTCTCTTAAATCAAAGCATTGTTTCAGTCCAGGCAAAGTGTTCCCAAAGAGCTTCACCTCTTCTTTGTGCGAGTCCACACACACACACACACACACACACACACACACACACACATAAACTACTTAAACAAACCTGCCAACGCGACAGAATCAGAGCTAAAGGCAGTCGGCATGTGATAGCAAGAGCAGGCACACAGTTCTGCTTTGCCGTGGAAAAGTACTCACAGATCAAGACCAAACTCCCAGCAACGCCGGGTCCAAGCCCCAGATCTGACATGCCTGCTCTGCGCACGCTCCGTCACCCTTCAGACACTGCCCGCCACGGCCGGGGGCCCGACAGGAGACAGGCAGTGGTGTGCAGCCAGTGCCAGTGTTTCGACCTGTTCTTCCAGTTACGTAAATAACAGGCCACCTAGTCACACCAGCACTCCACAGAGACAGCCCCAGCAACGAAGTAACCAGTTAGGTCAGAAAATGCTGCCTGTCTTACGCCAAAGAGTGGCAGGGCTGCCACCACCACCGAGGAAATGATTCAGGTGTTGATTCAGACTAACGGAGGTAGGGCAAAGGTCTACCTGGTACCATCCTCCAGGTCATCCGATGACACCTAGCAACTCATCAAGGCTGTAACAAGGAGAAAATTTGGGGGCACCTCCAATGTATGAAATAAGTCCAGGTTCAGTTTCGACAACTTGGACATAGAAAAACCAGCATTTCCTGCTAGATCTTTCAACACGTAAGAGGAAGTCCCTCATCAGCTGTTCCTTAGAGGTGCTTCTTAAAATAATTAAGCCACAATCTATCAAGGCTCTGCTTGAACAAAAAGCTTTTTCTTTTTTTTTTTTTTTTTCAGACGTATTTTTTGCTATAGAGTACATGCGCACACTGGACAGAGAGAGAGACGGTGGGAAATCACTGCCTGTGGGGGATGGCCATGCCACAATCCCTTCTCTCCCATTCTCCTCTCAGGATTCTGGGCATGCACACATACACGGCCAGCCTGAGTTTCAAACCTCCAGGTCTGGGACTCGAACCGCAGTTAGCTCTCTGGGCTCTCTGGGAATCTAGAGTCTTAACCACTATGGCACCTGCTGGCCCCAAACAAAAGGCTTTCAGTGCCCGTGGGGGATGGCCATGCCACAATCCCTTCTCTCCCATTCTCCTCTCAGGATTCTGGGCATGCACACATACACGGCCAGCCTGAGTTTCAAACCTCCAGGTCTGGGACTCGAACCGCAGTTAGCTCTCTGGGCTCTCTGGGAATCTAGAGTCTTAACCACTATGGCACCTGCTGGCCCCAAACAAAAGGCTTTCAGACAGATCACGTTTCTAATGGTGCTTGGTTTCTCCCTATCAGACTAACAGAAATCCCCTCCAGGTGGTCTGCAAAGAGTCAAGCTTTTGTTCAAACCACCACAACCCAAAAACAGACAAGAGGAAGACAAATGAATTCCGGACTAAGGCTGAAAGAGACTGAGTGAATTTCTGTGCAATAACAGACTTGATCAGCAGAAAAATGTAAAGAGAGTGATCTTGTCCCTTGGATGTGGTAAACCACCGCAGATACTGAGAAAACCCCTTGGGAAAACTTACATTCACAAATTGTTCTAAAAAAGTCTCTAGAGCTGGGACCAGCAGTTAGCGTAATGGCTATATTGCTGGACTCCCACGTAGTCGACCGCGGTTCGTGTCCCGGACCCGGTGGCTTAAAACTCATGCCAGGTGTATGTGCGTGCGTGCCCAAGATCCCAAGAGGAGAATGGAGGAGAAGGGATTGCGGCATGACCATCCCCCCTGGGGGGTGATTTCTCGCTTTCTGTCTCTATGTCTCTCTCTGTCTGTCTGGGGAGCGCACGCACCCTATAGCGAAAATCTCTCCAAAAAATAAATAAATAAATAAATAATAAAAATAAAATAAGTAAAACACAATAAAATTCACTCCTATAAGGAAAAACAATTCACTGCTCCAACAATCCATCACATATGTGAACACACCCATGGCAATACCTTCGACAACGGTGCTGCTGTTCCAGGTTTTACAAGCTTGCTTCCTGTAGGTGCTGAAGAGTTGTTCTCAGGTTTGCTTTTTTCTGCTGTTTGTGTTTTACTTATTGCAGACACTTTAGGCACTGAGCCAACACTCCTGCTTGCTTTCTTCATTCTGGGCTGCCTCTTCGTGATGCATTTATAAGCAAATCTGTGGAAAGAAAATGGTATTATAGTGAAAACAACACTGGAAGAAAGCTCTTTAGAAATACGTTTTGAAGAATTTTACCATGTGATAGATAAAAATGTTTGAAAGGCAGATGTTGCTTCAGAAAATCAAAGTTTAGGGCCAGCCCATGGCGTGGTGGCTAGATTTCATATAGCTAGTTAACTAAATGCAGTCCAGGGGTCCTGGACCCAGCAGCTTGAAAAACATACTAGCTGCATGTGTGTGTGTGCCCAAAATCATGAAGAGAGAAATGGAGAAGGGATTGTGACATGACCATTCCCTACAAGGTTTTTTTGTTTTTTGTGGGGTTTTTTTCCCTCTCTCTATTTCCCTCTGGTAAACAAATGTGTCCTTTGGCAAAATTTAAAAAAAAAAAAAAAAAAAAGTTGAAAAATCCTTAAGACTTGCTAGTGAAAATGTACCCTCCGTGGACCTCTAAGGCTTCCTCCTTGAATATTACTAACTGAAATTATGTTGTGCATTGTAGTTCATTCAGTAAAAAGAATATCCTCGGCCTCTAAAAGAACTGATTAAAAATAATACAGTATACATTATCTTCAGCATTTAATGAAGGAATAACACCCTAGCAGGTGGGAGCCAGTCATTCTGCAGGTTTCTAAGAGTGATCACCCTCCCCAAATTATCCAGCCGAAGCCTTCATTTCGAATCTTCGTTGTGCTATCCCCATGTAAGCCAGCAGAACATCCCAGAAATCCCAATACTGAGGCTCTAAGTATACTGGGTCGTTGGAAAAAAGTCATGATGTATTTTTCCATGTAAAAATGCATCATGCCTTTTTTCCAATGACCCAATATTCTTTCCAGAGTATCTCTTTATCAAGAGACAACACAGAAATTCTTTATTAAAATTGTGGCTCTAATTTGGGGTTCAGAGAATATACCTGCAAGAAATATGACAAAGATTCTCCCATCTAAGTGGTACGTACTTGATTTCATACTTGATTTTGTAGCTAAGAGGACTCGGGAGAACACGGGCCACACACGAAGCTGGAGCCAGATAAGCCCTTAAATGTACATTTGCTCACTGAGCTGAGAGCAGCCTCTACGATAACATCATGTTTGGAAAGACACCATACACCATTTGGGTTAAGGAATACAATTAACAAAAGCAAAAGCCTGTGCTGAATGTAAAGAGAAAAATGACGTATAATGACTCTGAGAAACCATACAAAGCACAGCAAGGGGTTGGTCTATCTTAGGAAGAGTTTCGCACACATGAATAAAAACAGAAAAAGCTTTTAGGAAAGAAAAGCCTCATTCATGCCATGGCCTTACTGAATATTTGACCTGGACTGTACTTGAACACTCCAGATTTATCTTGCCTTGACATAATAAAAACTGTACCGACTGGTTTGGTGGCAGGACAGTGAGGAAGTGCAAGGGCTCGGCTGCAGCCCTCAGCAGAAGGCCTGGGCGCAGAGAGAACGCTGCGGCCGGCGGCCGGCGGCCGGCAGCCAGGTGAGACCTCAGAGGTTCTTCTCCGACTTCCTCTAACTTCCAGATTATCTCCTATAGAAAATGCTGAACGGGGTTATGACATACTACCTAACCAATGCACTGCTCAAGGGAAGCTGGGTCCCACGAGGTGCCCCCAATTTGAGCCCGCAGGCACATGCACGGATGTCCAAGATCTGGCCAGCGGGAGGAAGGGGACTGCGACGCGACTGGACCCTGTGGAAGGTGCTCCTCTCGCTCTCATTTCCGCACACTTGAGCTCAACTATGAATAAAGAAATAATAACTTAAAAAAATGAAAAAAGAACTGCCTACCTACTCCTTTTAATTGCCAGAGGGTGGTGCACTCAGAGGTGGGGGGCACATCCTCCAACAGGGCACGGTCCTGATACAATCTCCACCCTGTCAGGATTCGGGGGAACACATACACACATGCCTGTTATGTTCTGCAAGCCACAGAGGCCATGGTGGTCCATGTGGGATCCAACTCACTTAACCACTAGGCTACAGGGCCAGCCCTACCTGCCCACACTTGACCTTTTGCTTTCCGCTTATCTCTTCCATTCGAGTAATCTGCAATGTGCTCCTCCCTTCTCAGTTCAGCTCTACCATCAAGTTCCTATACCTCCTGGAGGGTACCGAGAACGAACAGGACAGATTAAGTAGCTCCCCAGTATATTTAGACCCGATATATTAGATCCTCAACAATGGGATACAATTACACTGGCCCTGCTAATCAGAAATCTGTGCTTTCCTCGCTCATAAAATGATAATTAAATACACCGGATCTATTCACTAAGTCAACATACTGTAAGAAAAGCCAAATCAGATTCTATTGGGTTGTCGGAAAAGTCATGTGCTCTTCTATGTTTTTCTGTGCAAAAGTGCGTCCTTTCCAAGGACCCCATAAGTAACTTCCCTTCCATTTCTCACTTTTCAGCTCCTTTCTTCTAAGTCTTACGGCTTGTAAACAGCTCCCCAAGGGGTCTTTCTTCTCCAAATTCCACCCCTGCTCTCCTTCCTGCTACACTACCCAGGTCCCCCATTCTCTGTCTACTCTTCCTGCCCCTGCCAAGTGAACACTTTCTGGACCAGCACTACCCACCTGACTCACTGCAGCGATGGAAACGTTCTATCCATCTATCTGTGCTACCACAGAAGCCACGAGCCACTTACCACTTGGCTAGTGTGAATGAACAACGTACTTTAAATATGTTAGAGGCGCGTGTGGCTGGTGGCTCCCGTATCAGACAGTGCAACAGAATGCTCCTATCCCGCGGCTACTGTCTCAGAATTAAGGCCCAATTAACTACTACTTCCCTCCCAACAGAACAGTTGTAACCAAAAAGGTAAATATAAATAGGATGGGGCCAGCAGATGGCGTAGCAGTTATGTCGCTGGACTCCCGCGTGGCCGACCGTAGTTCGAGCCCTGCATCCTGTGGCTTGAAACTCATGCCGGGCACCTGTGTGTGCGAGCCCAAGATCCCAGGAGGAGAATGGATTGTGGCATTGCCTATTCCCCCTGGGGATGATTTCTGACTTTCCCTCTCAGCATCTCTCTCTCTCTCTCTCTCTTTCTCCAGTGAGGGTACTGGGCAAAAAGGCAAAAATCTCTAAAAAATAAATAAATACAAATAAAAGGCAAGTAGGAATGAGTGTTGGAAAGGATGTGGAATAATTAGAATCCGCATACACCACTGGTGGGACTGTAAAACAGGGCAGGAGCTTTGAAAAACAGTACAACAGCTCCTCTAATACACAGCATAGGGTTACCGCGTGATCCAGCCATCCCACTCCCAGACACTGACAGGAGAGAAATGAAGAGGTCTGTCCACACCAAGACATGCGCAAGTGACCCAAGGTACAGTATTCGTGAAAGACCAAAACTGCAAATAACTCAAACAACCCCCCCAATAAATTCTCCCAGTTAAACTGCAATAGACTTCCTTGTTAGCCTTTAAATTATTTTACTAATTGGCAATCCATTTGTTACTTATTAGAGACATATTATCATATAGTTCTTGTTCATATGCTTCCTGTATACTAATCGCTTTGCTTTGCTTCAGTTCCACGCATCTACCACCTAAAGAAAGGATGAACAAAATGGAAAATATCCATCTCATAGAACATTACTTCACTATAAAAAGGAAGTACTCGGAGCTGGCAGGTCATGTGGTGGTTAAGGTGCTGGACTCCCACATGGCCAACCGGGGTTCGAGTCCTGAATCTAGAGGCTTGCTTTCCCACTTTCCCTTTCTCTCTCTCTCTGTGGCAAAATTAAAAATAAATAATAGTAACAAATAAAATTAAGTAAAGTAAATAAATCTTAAAAAAAAAAAAGGAATGAAGCACTGATACATAACACACGTGAACCTTGAAGACTTCCCACTAAATAGAAGATGGTAGCACAACCAACACACCTTCTCGCAAGGTTGACCCGCATGAGAAGACGGTGGGGTCATATCCAGAGACCTCCCTACACACACACACACACACACACACACACACACGGCACACACATGCCCGGGTCTGGGGCTGGCTGAAACTGAGGGTAGACTGCTATATGAGGACCCTGTTGGGGGGTTCCCATCTCTGTCTCTGATTCTCTGTCTTTCTCACTCGTTTAAGAAATAAATAAGCTCTAGGAGAAAAAGTAAAAGAAGACAAAGAGAGGGGCCAGCAGTTAGCGTAATGGCTATGTCGCTGGACTCCCATGTAGTTGACTGCAGTTCGCGTCCCAGACCCGGTGGCTTAAACTCACGCTAGGCGCGTGTGCGTGCGTGCCCAAGATCCCAAGAGGAGAATGGGGGATTGCAGCGTGGCCATCCCCTGGGGGGTGATTTCTTGCTTTCTGTCTCTCCATCTTTCTGGAGAGCACATGTGCCCTACAGCAAAAACAGCTCAAAAAAAAAAAAAACAAAGACAGAAAGAACATGTATTACCGTATCCCTCTCACGTGATATGCAGATCCATGTGGATATAAAGTGCATTAGTGACTGTGGGTGCGTTGGGGGTGGGGGTAGAGACTGACTGCTACAGGGTATAGGCTTTGTCTCTTTTTAAAAATTACTTATTTGCCAGAGGGCACGTGCACTCACAGGAGAGAAACAGGGCGAGCACCCCCACGGGGAAATGGCACACTGCAATCCCTTATCCTGCATTTCTCCCTTTGGAGTTTGGGGCACACACTTGCCCAGCTTATTTTTCAAGCCTCCAGCTTACCCACTGCACATCTTGGGACTTTCCAGCCTCCACAATGGCGGGAGCCAAGTCTTCACGATAAATCTCTTCTTATTAATATATTTTCTCCAGAGAAACAGAACCAATAGGAGATACATGATATAATCGTATGTATTACATAGCATGTGATATAACCATGTACATGTGCATAGCTATGTATGTACGTATGTACATACAAAGTATACCTATTGTTCTGTTTCCCAGGAGAACACCAACTAATACACCTAGTAAAACTAAGAACAGGGGCTGGCAGGCAGTGTGGTGAT